ACAGGATTGGCCGATGAATTAGTTGTGAAGACAAGGGAGAGGAAGAACCGAGGCTGGCACCAGGGTGCTCATTGCAGGGAAGAGGGGGAGCTGAGCAATCATACTTCCATTTTGGGCACATTCCATCAGAGATGAGTGTGGCATGTGCAAAGGGAGATGTCAGCCAGGCGGTCAGATATAGGAGTCTGTGCTCAGACGGGGATTTGGGTTGGGGCTAGAAATGTGGGGGTTGTCAGTCATGGGAGTGGATGTCATCCACCAGTGGAAGGGGACAGAGAGGAGAAAGGGGCTCAGGAGCGGGGAGAGAAGGAAGGACCTGTAAAGAGGAAAAGGAAGGGGAACCAGAGAGAGAAAGGAACCAGGGCAGGGTGCATCCTCAAAGCCAAGAGGGCAGGGTTTTTCAAGAGGCAGTGGTGCAGTGGAGAGCAGGCCATCATGCCAGGTGCAGCTGGGCGGCTGAGGGAGATGAGGACCGAAAGCCTGTCCCTAGATGTGGCCACATGAAAGCCACCTGTGACAGTAATAAGAGTGGCATTGCTAGAGTTGGGGGGGAATGTGGATCAGGGTGGAGTGAATTGCAATGAGAGAATGAAGACAGCCTGTGAGGACAAGCCTTTGAGAAGTTCGGTTATGAAGGGGGAATAAAGACATATACCTGCAGAGCATGAGAGATCGGGGGTGAGATGTTTGGGATATGAAATACTAGAGGGGTGCCTGGGTGGCTCAGTCCATTAAGCATCTGATTCTTGATCTTGGCTCAGGTCATGATCTCATGGTTCGTGGGTTTGATCCCCACATTGGGCTTTGCACGGTCTTTCTCCCTCAAAATAAATAAAAAAAAAATACTAGAGTGTGTTTGGAAGCTCAAAATGATCACTGGAGAGTGAGAGATAGTGCCTCAGCTTTTGTGTTACCTCTCCTAACGATGAGAACTTAGAATTGTGTAACTCTTCACAGTTTACCGAGTGTTATCACACACACTCTCTCAGCCTTACAGCCATGCTATGAGGTATGTAGCAGCCCCGAGTTAGGAATGAAGCAATAAGTGACAAGTTCAAGGTCACAGCCAGGAAGGGGCAGGGCCAGCCCCCCCTCACCCCCCATGCCCATACCGCTCTCCTCAGCCTAACCCGAAGACCCTCCCTGTCCACAGCAGTCCTGTCCCAGGGCCCTGGCACCAGAATTGGTTGGCACTCACACAGCAAGGTCTGTGCCCTGCCAGTGTCTCTCAGGCAGGTTTTCCAGTTGCCACCAAGCCAATCACTTTCGCCTGCTGGCCCAGCTTTCATATTACGAAGTCACAGCCGCTTTTCAAGAATACATGACTCTGTCCCATTTCCCAAGCCCCTTTAACTGAGCCTCAGATCTTCCTGAATTTCTGGAAGAAACCAACAATATCTGGCAGGTGTTAGAGAGAGGATACGTGAAGTTTCACATCCTTCACATCCAGTCCCTGAGGCCTGTCAACATGGGGACTGCCACCCAGGGCACCTGAGGGTGGGTTAGTGACTGTGGCTAACCTTTGTGCCTCAGTCTCCACATCTGTAAAATCCTGGGATGTTGTGAGCTTGAGGATGAAATGAGATGGTGAGTATGCAGTGCTGGGAAGGTGCTTGGCACGTGGTGACTGCTCTATTAATGCTGCCCGTGATTATTTTTATTTATTCATCCACTCACTCACTCATTCGTACATTGGACAGACATTTGTTGAGCGCCTTCTCAATGCCAGGCATCGCTCTAGGCACAGCAAATGCAGAGACGTACCCACATATGCTTCCTGGGCTCAAGAAGCATATGTTGTAATGAAGGGAAGGGATGTTGGAACACAAACAGCTCTGCCCTCGCAGGAATAAGCAGGGTGCAAAACACCGGGTATCCAGAGAAGAGAGTGCATCGAGGCGAGAGGTGGTCAGTAGGGGCAGGCTGCGTGGGCGGGCAAGAAACCCACTCCCCACGGAAAGGGGCAGCTGCAGCTGAGCAGTCACAGGAGCTGGAAAAGGCAGAGCCTCTTTGGGGGTGGGAGGGCAGGTGGTGAGGAACCCAACAGGAGCATCTGCTCCAGGGAGAAGAGGGGAGGGGCCAAGACTGGTTATCCTGGGGGAGGGTTGTGAGAGTCCCAGATGTCAGTCTGGCAGAGCCAGCAAAGGGCAGCCTAGGTAGAGGGAAGATTGACAGCTCTGTGCATTTACCTCCGGCCTCGCGTCAGGGCTTGTTGGGAAGCCTAGTGGGAGCTGTTGGCTTGGCCTCGTGTCTGTCGTCCCCAGGGGTGGTGGTGGGAGAGAAGGGGCCACAGATCGGGATTCGCCCCAGGCCACCAGTTAGATTTAGGCAGGACTCCACGACACCTGCCCATTCCGTAACGGATGGAGGAACTTGAGCCAGCCTGGTAACCCCACCCCCCTAGCCCCTAGGGAATGCCTGGAACTAGCACCCCCAAGTTCTCCAAAGAAGAGATGATTCGGGGCCATCTGCTCCCCCAGGGCCACCACCATGGGAGTGGGGACCTTGTGTGCACACCTACCACCGAGTCTTCAGGGCCATAGGAGTGGCCTCCAGTTTGTGCAGAGCAAGGCCCCTGCCTCCCCGTGGCCACATTTGTCGACACATGTCATGACCCTCTGAGTTGGTCCAGTTTGCAGAACAGAAACCCAGAACCTGGCAGGGGAAGCTGGCCAGCCTGAGGCACACCAGCCTGGGGGAAAGCCGGGGCCTGGGAGAAGTGAATGAAATCCAGGGTGAGAACGTGCCTTGTAAAGTGCTGTTGGAATGTAGGGCTGTTATCTCCACCTCTGACATGAAGCTCCTGGGCATTTCTCATGGTCACTACTTTGGGGGAAAGTCACCTGAGAAAGAAATCAGAGAACTAGGAGTGTTGACACCATGGGCAGTGCGGACAGAACACGGAATGTAGACCCTGGAGACAGAGGCCCGGCACAACCACGTACCAGCTGTGTAACCTTGGGCAGCTCGCTGCCTCCCTGACCCTCAGTTTCCCTTTCTAGGAAAATGGCTTATCAACCCTCATTCTGTGGGGCGCAGGTGAAACAATGCATCTGACAGTGCTTTTAATGAGCCCAGCGCTCTAGGACTGTGGTGTCTTGTGAGGAGCAGTAAGATGGTAGCAACCAGCAGCCCCGGGGCCTTGGAGGACTAGTGTGCAGCATCCTGGGCACCTTCTGTCCCTGGGGGCTGGAGCCAGCTGCTGCCTGCGCTGGAACCCAAGTATTCTGTCTCCCCTGCCCAGGCACGTCCCGTGGGTCATGCCGTGCCCTCGACTTGCAGCCCTCAGACACCATTCATCAAGGCGCCCAAGGACAACCTTCCATCACTGGGTGCTGACTCAGCTCCCAGTTAGCTCTGCCCCCCCGCCACACACACACACACACACACACACACACACACACACACACACACTGTGGGTGCCAGAAGGCACCTGGCCAGTTGCTCAGCGTTCCCCAAACTTCACTGGCTCTGCATCTCAGTGACGAAGGAGAGGGCCAAGTTGGACCAGTTTCAGGAAAGCAAGAAGTGATTTCTCTCAGAGACCTTGGAGAGGTCTCTCCGCCCACCCCATCCCCACCCCCAAAGTGTTCTGGGCCAGGACAGCCAGAGGCCTGCAGCCGAACGTCACTCAGGCTGTACCCACTTAGGTTAAAACAAAAGCAGGAGCCCGGGACTAATGGATGGACATTGGCCAGGTTCCTTAGGAGAGCCTGGCACCCCCGTGTTCCCTGGAGGTGGGAGGAGGCCTTCAGACATTCACGGCTATACTGCCTGAGGGTGACCTTGGGCATGGTGCTTTCTGCAGATGGAAAGGCAATGTGAAGAAATCGACTGTGGGACACCTAAGCCCTTATGACTCAGACGTAGATTCTGAGGTTTCATTCATTCAATGGTTCAACAAGTTTTTTTTGAGCACCTATTGTGTGTCAGGGTCTGTTCTAAGTGCTGGCGAACAAAACAGACAAAACTTCTGCCCTTGGAGCTGATATTCTAGTGGGATCTGACAGAGAAGGAAGAGATAGACAAGAAGGTAGAGAACAGTCAGCTGCTGATAAAAGCTTCAGGGGAAGAGAGCAGGGATGAGGGATAAAGAGTAGAAGGGGTGGGAAGTGTTTGCAGGTTTCAGGAATGTGGCAGGAAGGCCTCACTGAGAAACATCAATAGAGCCAGGGTGAGAGCCATGTGGATATCTGGAGGAAATGCATCCTGGGCAGAGGGAACAGCAAGTGCAAAGTCCCTGTGGCAAGAACATGCCTGGGGCTTCAGTGCCACAGGGGGCTGTGTGGCTGCAGGAGAATGAGACAGGAGAGATGGCAATCAATGAGCATTTTAACCTTTCATATGGAGTCCCTTAGAGACAGAGATTCAGCAGGTCCACCCACTGACTTTCGATGCGTTCGTCATCTCTATTCAGGGATGCTCATTTCATGCTACTGTTTAAATGCTAGGGCTCTGTCAGGAGACAGTCATTCCAAACCCCTGCAACAGAGCCGCTGCTCCTCCAGAGCTCATTGGTGCAGAAAGCGCCTGGTTCCAAGTCCTAGCACCTGACACTTACTAGTTGTATTACCTTGGGGAACGTCTCTCTGAGCCTCATTTTCCCTGATGACGCTCATCGGTTGCCTCATCTGTAAAATGGGTTAGTAATACAGCCTCCCATGCCCACCTCACTTGCTTATTAGACTTAAATTAGTAGATCATAAATATGAAAGTGTCTTTTACATTGAAATGGGTAAGGTACATGGAGGGGGAAGCCACTCTGCTTCTCAGACTGTGTCCCACGTGGGCCCAGTTAACCCTTACTTTGAGTGAGTCTGTATCTGATTCAGAGACACTCACCAAATACGCAGGGACTCCTAAATGCGCCAGGGCTGAATTGCCCCTCTGTTGACCAGTCTGGGAGGATTTTCTAAGCCCCATTCTGGGCTCGGTGGCGGGGAGACACCAGGTGAGCCCAGCTGCTCCTCCTCAACGCCCCCTCCCCCTACCTCCTCCAGGTACAACGGCCCCAACCTGGTTCTGAAGTATGACCGGGCCCAAAAGCGACTGGTGAACATCGCAGTGGATGAGCGCAGTTCCCCTTACTATGCGCTGCGGGACCGGCAGGGGAATGCTATTGGGGTCACAGCCTGCGACATTGACGGGGATGGCCGTGAGGAGATCTACTTCCTCAACACCAATAATGCCTTCTCAGGTAAGGGCTTGGGGCCTTGAGCCTCTTCCTGCTTCCCACCCTCTTCCTCCCAACACCAGCTGAGGGTAGGGCCTTCTGGGCCCTGGCCTTCCTCGGGCTACTGTCACGGGCTCCCCCGGGCATAGACCCCTGCTGCCTCCTGCCTCGCTCTGTCCCAGCAGAGACCCCCAGGAGGACCCCTTCTTCTCTTGTATATGAAGTTTGTTCTCAGCTCCCAGCCTCTGGGCCTGGAAACTTTAGAGCGTGAACAGAGGAGATCGGTTCTCTCACTCAGACTTTCTGTCCTCCTTGCCACCCCCCACCCCCGTCCTCCTAAATCCTCCCCTCCTTTCCCTCCACTGCTCCCTGGACAGACAGCCCCTCTGGAATTGCCCTCCGTGCTGCTTCTAGGGAACCTTTCAAAATGCTTTGAAATCAAGGGCCCCCCACAGCTTTTAGCTGAGCTCATTTATTCACCCCCCAAATTCCTGCTGAGCACCTACTCCATTCCAGACTAGAGGTACTAGAGGCTGAGGACACAACTTGGAAGAAGACGGACCTTGAGTTCATGGAGCCTTTCCCAGCCCGGAGTGTCTGTCCAACTTGCCTGGGGGTCTTGTATACATGCACATTCTGACTCAGCAGGTGGGAGGGGGGCGGGGGCAGCATCCTGCATTGCTAACAGGCTCCCAGGCCATGGTGATGCTGCTGGTCCAGGGACCACACTTTGAGTAGCAAGGCCCTGCACACCAAGGAATGGCTGAGGAAAATGGATGCCCAGAAGGCTAAGTAATAGTAACAATAATGATAACAGCTAATACTTAAGTAGCATCAACTGTGTGCCAGGCCTAGGTCTAAGCACTTTATACTAATCATCTCATCTAAGCCTTGCAACAGCTCAATTTGGGAGGTCCTGGGCACCCCACTTTATAGTTGAGGAGACCAAGGCACAGAAATCATGTGACTAGCACAAGGCCACAAAACTTGTAAGTCCCAACATTTCAAACCCAGGGGTCTAACTCTGGATCCATTCTTTAATTAAGATACACCCAGGCCTTGGGCACCTGGGTGGCTCAGTTGGTTAAGTGTCCAACTCTTGATTTCAGCCCAGGTCATGATCTCATGGTTCGTGGGTTTGTGCCGACAGTGCAGAGCCTGCTTGGGATTCTCTTTCTCCTCTCTCTCTCTCTCTCTCTCTTCCCCTCCCCTACTCATGCACACACACGTGCGCACACACACACTCTCTCTAAATAAGTTAAAGGAAAAAAAAGATGCTCCATGGCCTTGCTCAATCCTATGTCCTCAGGGCCCAGTGGAGAGCAAGGCTCATAGTTGGGTGCTCAGTGTTACACAAGTTGGGGGTCTGTGTACTTGGGGTTAAAGATCAAAGTGGTTCCTAGACTTGACTCTCCCATTCTCTCAAGCCTGAGCTCAGCCCACTAGAATGAAGTCCACTCCCCTGGAGCCACATCTGCTGGGAAGTCCCAGGCCACAGTGTCCTCCTGGAGCACTCAGAGCCTCATGTGTATAAGGGGCCAGGTGGGACATGCATTGGGCTCTTGCAGATGCAACAGCTTCTTCGGTTGGTCTAGACAACACCCTGTAGTTCAGACCTTGTGTATTCACCATCCTGGACCCTCCCAGTCTCCTAGAGGCAGGTGATTGCCTGGCAATAGGGATCACCTTCCCCACCTCTTCCCCAGCCCCAGCACACACATTAGCTTTCCTTGGGCCCATGTTGCCCCCACTGGTTTTCAAGGCCAGGCCAGGATCCAGCCCCTAGACCACCCCTGATGTTGAGCCCTGCCAGTGGCATGAATGGGAGGGGAAGGGGTTGGGGCCCATGCCAGGGGCAGGGGCAGATGCAGGCGGGGCTTACTGGCTGGCAGCCAGCCTTGTGCAGCCAAGAAACAATGAGCCACAGCCCCGAGTGGTGTTTTATGGGTTTTCATCTCATCTTGCCACCAAGTGAGGCCTGAGAGATAGTAATTATCCCTACACAAATATCAGGGCATGATTACCCAGCTGGATTTACTGCCCTCTCTCCAACCAAGCCAAGATTGGATTAGGACACAATTAATTGATGGGCTGATCAACCCTTTAAGCTGATCAAGGTCAGGAGGGGAGCAGCAGCAAGGGACATCGGTGAAAGGGGTGAGTCCCCAGTGAAAGGGGTGAGTCCCCGGGAAGATGTGGGAGGGCAGGGAGGCAGAAATAGGGAGAACTACGGAAGGGAAGGGGGTCTTCAACATAGGAGTGGCAGGCAGGCTGCCAGAGGAAGGGGACAGACTCTCCTCCCTACTCACCCAGCAAAGAGCACCTGGGAGGAGACTTCAGGTGGCTCTGAAGCAGTGCCCCTCCCCTGCTCTTGGAGCATTCCATTGTGAATCCTAGGGCAGAGATGCTCAGCCCCAGCTGCACATTAGAATCTCCTGGGGAGCTTTTGTCACTCCCAGTTCCCAAAGTGCACCCCAGTGCAGTCCAATCAGAGCCTCTGGGGGTGGAACCCAGTTAGCAGATTGTAAAGCTTTCCAAGTGATGTCCACATGCACTCAAAGTTGGAGAACTAACCACCACCATCCCACCACCACCAGTCATGTTAGTTCTGTGCCCAGCCTAGCCCTAACCTAACCATGGCCCCATTCATTCATGAATGTATTCATTCGTTGGACAAGTATTTAATGAACACCTACTGTGTGCCAGGCACTATTCTAGGCACTGAGAATGCCCTATGAATGAAACAGACAAAAACCTCACCCTCCTGAAGTTTACACTGTATGCCTAATACAGCTTTATATTTCTCTAGGTACCTGACTCTCATAGACTCTGAGCTCCTTAAAGGCAAAGTCCCTATACTGGCACCCTCAGCCCAGCTAGACTTTGAACATCCTAAGAGCACAGTCAAAACTTGATAAATAAATCCAGGAAGAGCAGACAAGGCATGAGCCATTAGGCCTGAGAGAAGGTTTGCGAACTAAGGGAAGACAAGGGGAGGCAAGCAACGCGCAAGCCCCCCCAGGAGGTCCTGGGCTTCCTGGGTTGGAGGGTGCAAGTGTTCATATGGGAGAAGCTGGAGCTGGGCCCCGGCGCTGGGGTGAGGGCAGCAGTGCCCAGCAGCCTCAGCTCCAGACGCACAGCTCCCTGTGACCTTCTGTGGGTTCGAGTTCATTTTTCAGTTGAGTGATTCAGTCGATTCATCGACAGTGGGCAGGTGTAGAGCTGGGATATTTGTGCCACATCAGTGCCTCCTTGGGTCCAGCTGGCATGACACTCAGCCACTGCCACCCTGCCCACGGTGGGGACCCTGAGATCCCCTCTGGGAGCCCTGCCAGCCCATGCCTGCCCTGGCATGTGCCTGGGGGCCCCTGCAGCCTGTGCTGGGGTGTGGGAGGGGCCTGTGGATGGACAGCCCTGTCCCCTCCCTCAGCCAGCCTTTGGGATGTCAGCACTAATGTCCTTGGAGAAGGGTTGGGACACTGCACCCTGGCAGTGGGAGTCAGTCTATACAACCCTGGGGTCTGCACCTTACTCACTGGGTGACCTCTCTCAGCCTCAACCCCTTCATCTGTAGAACATGAAAATTCTATCAACTTCATAAGCTCCACTCCCTCCAGTAGCTCCATAGACTATACGCAGAATCTCTACCATGGCCCACAGCGCCCCTGCTTGGTGTGAGCCAGACTGTCCTCTGACCTCGTTGCCTCCACTCATTTCCTCTCACTCACCATGTTCCCACCTGAGGCCTTCATACTTGCTGTTCCCTCTGCCTGAAATGCTTTTCCCACCACTGTTCTCAGAGCTCACTCTGTTCAGAAGTTCAGAACAGCCTGAACTTCCCCCTCATTCAGGCTCATCCCCAGATGTCCTACTGAATGCCTTAAAACCATACCCCCTCCCCGTGACCTTAATTTGCTTTATTTCTCTTCCTAGCACTTAGTGCTATCTGAAAGTATGTTATACATTTGGTTGTTGTTCATCTCTCCTACTCAGCCCCACAGTTACAAAAACTTTGTCTGGCCTGCTGCTGTATGTCCAGGTGCAAAGAAGTGCTTATGTCACTTAATAAACATTCAATACATATATTTGAATGAGCAACCGAGATACTGAATGAAAAGCACTTATAATGGTGTCTAGGACTTAATAAGTGCTCTCCAAGCAATAGCTGTTACAATCCTGCAGCGCGAAGAAAGTCAGAGCCTTTAGAAGTGTCCTGGGCAGAGGGGCCAGGCCTCCCTGCTGGCCCATGGGAGAGAGAGAGAGACTCTAGGAGCAGAAACAGAAAAGGACCATCATGTAAACAAATGCCACCCAGATAAGGGTACCAGGAGGGCATGGGTCAAGGATTAAGAATTGGAAGATAGGTAGGAGGGAGGGAACAGAGAAAGATCGGCCACAATCCCAGGAAGGCCTGAAGCTCCCAGCCAGCTCCCTGGGGTCTGGCGCTGGCCACCCCAGATGCTGTGCTGTGTGGTCCTGAGTCCTTCTGCCCACATAACCTGGGTAATGGGGGCGTGGGTCGGGGATGGGCCAGCAGCAGCTGTGAGCCCCGCCACTTATGTTGTTTTCACTCAACAGAATAGTCACTCATTACTGCTACCTTCAATCTGTATATTCTCCCTCCTCTTCCACACAGACAGGACTGTGCTCTACTCATGTGGCTGCTCTTTGTTTCATTTAACAATCGATTTCAGATATTATTTCACAGCAGCACACAGACAGCTTGCTCATTCTTTGGATGGCTGTGTAGTACTCCATTGTGCTGATTTGCCGTTCACCAAATTGGTCCTCTGTTGATGAACATTTAGATTGCTTGCAATCTTCTGCTCCTACAAGCAGTGCCACCAAATGAATAAGCTTGTGCAGCATTGCAGGTGCACCCATAAGGTGAGTTCCTAGAAGGGAATCGCTGCATCAGAGGCTTATACGTGTGTGGATTTGATAGGCATTGCCAAACCACCCTTCAAATGGACAGTCTGATGACATTCCTGTTGGCCCTGATGTGAGTGAGCATCTCCCAACAT